ACTAAGTAGACGAGTCATCAAATTTGGCGCTTTCCCCGACTGAGACGTCAGACATAGTAATAGTTAACTTTGTTGTTTTAGGTACTGAAACTCGTTGACGACTTACGAAACCATCCAGCAAGTACTCTGCTAGCAGATGGTTATCCAATCGTCGTTAGTTCCGATGACCCTGCCACTTGGGGTTCTGCTCCCTTGTCACATGACTTCTATGAGATGTTCATGGGAATTGCCAGTGCTAAGGCTGATCTGCGATTATTGAAACAACTTACAACAGACTCTATCAAGTAAGTACTACATCATAATAGACATTAGTGACGGCATAGTTATGAAAACATTACAGCTAACATCCAAGTCCTTTATTGTCTAAATGTTTTAATCCATAAATGTATCTCATTTTTCGCAATTTCACTCAGAATTGAACGTTTAGTTCTTTATTTTCTTTTAATAAAAATAATGTTATGATACAACAAAGCTCTTAAAATAAATGGAAGTCGTCAGGAGTGTGAAATTTCATTACCAAACGCTTCAGCGTGGTATTAAGAGTTTTCAGGGGTGGGTGATACCAAGGTGGAAAATGGATGCACATATGGGGGTAATTCCTGGAAAAGCAATGGAGAGGGTTCAGGCTGAAATACAATATGTAGTGTTTTCATGTTTCGTCTGATATTTCTGTGATATTCTGCTACTGTAAGTAATGCAAGATTTGTTCAGAAATTCAGTGTATTGTTTGCACTCCAGGGTTATTTGTTTTTTGCTGAAAACACCCCTATTTTTTAACGGCAGAGTCGAACCAGTTTCACTCCCACTGGGAAATCTGCATTGTTGCTTGAATGAGAGCTAATTAAACACATTTTCCAGACCGGCGGAACAGCCCATTTTAACAGCTTATCACGTGATGTTACTAAGAATGTTTACGCGGAAAGAGGCTATTCCATTTTACGCAGGAATAATTGGGAGTAGAATATGTGAGGGATTGTATCAACAGAGATGTGTATACTGAAAAGTAATATATATCCTTCTTTTGCATCGCTGAGCATTTCTGTTTCAGTATATTGGTTTGAAAATGTTTTGTTTTTTACTGAAACGCCCCTAATAGTTGAATCTCGGGTTTGAAGGAGTGTGTAACACCACGTGATTCGTTTAAATACAATAGTGAAGGATTGGCACGATGGGACGCCGTCCGATCTCGGTGGAACCACAGTCAGCTGGCGCACACGTGATAATAAAATAAATGCAAAATTTACTATTATGGGGCCGCCATCTTGAATGTGGCATAACACTAAAATAAGAGACAAATTGTGAAACTCTTTATTCAGATTCCTACAAATCAGGAAAAAATACCAAACTTCCCCAGCCAAACGATCCGTTGGGGGTAATATTAAGTAAACCGCTAACAAAATTCGACCGAATTCGCCGTTTTTGTGTGGGAAAATCCCTTAAATAAGAACACCTAATTACACGAAGAACATGGAACACTTTCCTGGGGTATTTGAAAACAAAAACTGTCAAAACTGTCAGCAGCCAATCAGCGACGGCCTTACAGTTAGATGACAATTTCGGTTTCAAATACTCCGGGAAAGTGTGTTATGTTCTTGTTGTAATTAGGTGTTGAGACTTGTTGCACAGTGAAAATTAGACTCACACGTAATGCTTGAAAACTTTTCAGCGAAAATAAATAAGTGAAATTCTATGTGACTTCATGAGAGTTGGAAATGAACAAAGTATATGAAACCCAACCCTACCACTCCATACACAATGTAAACTACACCCCAAAACACCCTTTCACCAGTGTATTCTATTTGACTTCAGAAGAAATTGAAATGAACAAATTATATAACAACGAACGTAATTATAATTTCAGCCTCTAGTTCAGCACTGATTAAATAAACTACCTCGTCTTTATGCCAACTTGAAGTTATTCATTGCCTACATCAGTGACTTCAAATCTATGTTTCAATCCCAGAAATTTCACTTTTAATTGCATTGGAGTGCTAGTCTTATTTTCTATTGTAATGCCAATTTCTTGCGATTACTCGGAACATGAAGCTGTAACTACAGACCGTCTAGGTGTTGTAACTAAATCCTGGTATAAGCACCGGTTAGGCAGGCTTGAACTATGCATGTGAAGCCAGCTGAGATGTATATGCAATCCTATAGATTTCCGATTGTTCGGTAACTATTTGCTGCAAATGCAACAAAAATCAATATAAAAATCTTACCCACACAGCATTCTACAGACTACTTGTTTAATCTTTACAATTATATTGGTTTCTAGAGGGAAAGTAATGTTCCCATATTCAAAAATGCCGCTATGCTGATATTCATTATATTAGGAATATGACATACAGACTGTAACACTGCCTAAATGATATAATTGGGCTTTTAAAAAAATTATTCCTTTTCGGTGTATGATTTTTTCAAAATGTTAAGCTTTTGTAATTTTCTGAATGCGAATGCCCCAAGGACTGAACAATCTCTATAGAATATTTCATTCAACACGAGTAAACTTCAAATAGCCAAGATAAGGCTTTACATATAGCCATGATTGGACTGTGGCGCTTGCGCACAAATGGCATATTCACTATATACAAGGCTTTCTCTGATTAGTTGACTAATCTAGTTATTTGAGTCCCATGAACCGAACGAGATATTTATGTAAGTTGTTCAGATCGTTGGGCGATCACAATCAGAAATTCAAATAATAGAATTAAGAAAAATGCGACTAAAATAAAATGAAAAAAAAATGAACAATTAATTTCAATCCGATTGAGCCTAGTCATGTAGTCTCAAACAAAATTGTGCATGATAAAATTTACCCGTATTACGGCTATTTCCTGCAATAAAACAATTTGCGAGAAACAAAAATTTAGGCATGACACGAAACTGTATATACTTGATGTTAGCGATGACGTCGATATGCGTGTGTACATGTGACATGATTATTCCCATCTTGCATCGGTATTGCAGTGTTCATATAACATATATTACACTATTTCAGATATAGTACTCTGTTAGAAGAGGAGAAAGCTTCGTGCATGGATATGTGGTCGACTGAATGGAACATATTTTTAGACAAAGTGTTAGAAATGTACAACATAACTGACTGGGAGCATTATGTTCCTGCACCAACTGAGACGACAATTACAGATGGTGCAGCAAAGCTGTTGTGTCTCAACATAACACCTATTATTCTGGCAATAATAATGGTTAACACATAATGACGTCACTAATATTAGCCGTGTTGTTTATAGTGACGTCACTGATAGTATGTCAAAATAAGATTTTCGAAAAATATAATCCTCGTGATTGCATCATAATTTCATAAGATTCTGATAACTAATAACATTTCAAAACAGTGTTCGGATTGCCAACATGTCAGAATTTACCAACATAACACGTGAATCTTATCTCAAAGCTGACACTCAAGCATTCCGTCCAATGAGTTGATAAACAATCTTATGAAAATTATTTTGTAGGTATAATTTATAGCGCCAGGGATTTATAAGATATAAATATTCAACTTTCATAACCGTAGACTGATAAAAATGTCACGACAAGCGAACTCTCACGCTTTTCGGACGTTTTACAACGATCCGATTCTGTGCGTATCAATCGAATGTAACCAATAGCGTCACAGAACGCAGTAGGCGTTGAAATGCATCAGAATGTCTGTAAATGTAGATTTGTTTTGCGAGTTTCTGATCATATCTCAATTCGTGTACCTTCTACAATTCGCGTGTAATCTTCATCGCATATCACATTATACTTGCATGCCCTCAACTTATACAGCCTTGATAACACATATTTATGTTGTGCACTCTTAACTTTGCGTCAGTCGTCCCTGTAGATAAAGAGACTAGATGTGGTTTTATTTAATTGTGTTGTTTAATTTAATGTATTACATTGTATGTACACATTCATACCATATAACAGTAATACCACTGTCACAATTCTTTTTAATTAAAACAATGCAATCTTCGTAAAATCCTTAACATGTGAATAGAAAGCAATCCGAACACTGTTATTAAAAACACTTTCAACACAGACCTCAATTAATATTTGTGCACTTTCTATTATTGAGGTATATTGAGAGCATGATTGATTAAGTGACAATAATATGAGAAAGGTATCTGTAAAATACATTTGCGCGTTACCTATATTGATCTTCTGGACCTTGTAATTTGATTATTGCTGGCAACGTATCACTTCAATTTGCCGCAACCCCAATGCCTGAATAAAATGATTTGTCAATAGGATTGGTCTCGTTGTCGTTTTATAAAATGGTATGTCAGATACACTGCCAGTGTAAGGTATACTGGGACAAAATAATTCATGTTTTTTTTTCTGTT